GTTTAGACATTGAATGGAAATTCAAGCAGATGATGAATCGCCAGGACAAGATAAAAAACAACCCGTTGAATTATTCGTGTAAAAGAAAGGGATCGTTTCCCGGTTTAACCTGAGTATCAGGCTTTGGAATACGGAAAAAGGAGGGGGGAGGTGAGAGGGGGTAAGGGGAACGAATGCTTTCCTCTCTCTCTCTCTCTCTCTCTCTCTCTTCCACACCCCCCCTCCCTAACCCTCCAAATCGCCCTTTCGTTGAACCTGATACTCAGGTTAGCACGGCTAGGCTAGGCTGCAAATAGACCCTAAAATATGCAGCCCTTTACGTCCTCCACTTGTCATAAAATGTAAATAGAACGACACAAAATTATACACCTAAGAGTTAAGCCCGGTAACAGCGCCTTTACCTGAACAATATTTATCTTTAAGTGGAGATCTTGTGCTTTTCATCGTTCTTCTAACTGATTTATGCAATTGAATACTGAACCGAGATCTTATCAGCACCAATGTCGTGAAACGTTCAGGCAGACTGGCCCTTATATACCACGCATTCGTACGTGCGTACCATGGTACGTGCAGTCGGTACTTTGAACCATAGGTGTGGCATAAGCATACTATTAAAGCGTTTATTCGGGAAAATTGTTTTGATCATCTCTCACGTGGACAACTCTACTTATGTAATCATTAGAGCAGTTTTCTTAGGACTGTGAAAAGTATGCGCGACTTGCGGTACCGTCATGTTTTCTAAAATTTTGATTGGCTGATTTTTTTCTCGCGCAATTTGATTGGTCTGGTAGACCCGTGTTTCTTGGCCCGACCGTATCCGCCCCGTGTTTCGAGTATTTAATTGGATAGCAAATACATTCTTACGCAAAGTGATTAGTGTAGCGTATGTCTTGCCGTGTCACGTCCACGTTCGTGCCGCCGGCTTTTTTACAGTCCTAAGAAAACTGCTCTTAGACTAATGCTTTTAATGTCACTTCAAAATATAAATAATACAGAACAGAACAGAACAGAACAGAACAGAACAGAACAGAACAGAACAGAACAGAACAGAACAGAACAGAAGTTTATTGCTCTTAAATATTAA